CATTTCACCGGGCTTCACGCAGCCATGACTCTTGTTGAGGATTGTCCGTAGAGGAAGCTTTCGCCGACCCTCTTTGATTTTGGTGGGAATGTTAAACTGGGAGAGAACAGTCTCATTCACAGCAGCCTCTGAACTTGTTACCTGTACAGAGAGATTCTGCCATGTGACACCAAGTTCCTGTTTCTTGAATCCAGCAGCCAAATTGCGATCGTTCTCCTCCTGGAGCTTGGTCAACATGCTCCAGTCATTTCCTTTCCGATTGGGGCTCTCCTTGCGGGGAGTTTCGTCGCCTGTGACCGTCATGGCGCTTTCGGTATCGAATTGGATCTCATCAGAGCTTGCGCCCAGTCCTTTTTCTGACCCATCCATGATGACGGGGAAGAGAGAAGGAAGGGGAGAGGCGTTGGAAAAGGTCGATTAGTAGAACGCAGATACCAACTTGGGGACTCCATCCTTATATGAGAAAGTCTCAGGGGTCCACGACAACGGCCCCGAAAATCCGAAGCCGAAGCAAACATTGCTTTATTATTGGCAGCATCGAGATTTCGATGCGGAGCCCTAATTGATAAAACACATGTTTCGCTCTCGAACCCCCTGTTAAGAGTCAGAAATTCATCACCTCCCTCAGGCTAAAAGGGTTCGGAGGGACTTTTCTGCAACCGAGCCGCTGACTAATCGGCTTTTTTCGCTTACTCAAAGCTCCGATTGGAGGCTTGGCACCTCTCGGTCTCCGCTCTCGTAGGAAAGGAAATAAATGTGGATAAAGGCCGAAGACCGAAGAGGATTTCATTGGATGAGAAAAAGTTGCTTATGGTACGCATATCCATGGATGACACTATTATTATGGATAGCCTAGATCTCCCGTCTTGTTAAGCAGCCACAGCGCCTTTCAAAAGCCGAGTACAAGATAAGCAATCGACAGCATGCCTACTCCGTACCTAGGTAGGTGGGTGGGTGAATCTGAGGTGATTAATATAATTGGTCTATGATAACAAGATCTGATACCCAAATGTACATACCCTGTATGGAGTACAAAGTACAGAGACAACTTTCGGATCTCTTGACCGACTTTCGATTCCTCATATTATAATATACTTGCTAATACTAACAAAGTGAAACAGACTGTCTGAACCCTCAGCCCTCATATTTCGTCCCAAAACTATGAAGCTGAATGAAATTATAACAAACTAGGATCAATTTTGCACGTTAAATACTACAAAGATCACGTCAGATTATTAAATGTTGCCTAAAACCATGCTATTCTGAATGAAGACCCAATTATAAATAGCCGGAAACTTCGTATTCGGCCTTTCGCTTTTATTAAAGCCCACTATTATCCCCAAGGATTTTCGATTTACAAATATACCTATACGTACCGGATTTTTCCTGGCGTGTGGGGCTTTCCTATTTGATCTGCCGTCGCTTTTATGAGGGTGCTCAGGCTCACTGAGTAGATGTTAGCACAGACTCAGATCAGTGATCATGCTTAGTTCAGTCACATACAGAATGACTCATGCTCAGTGAGTGCTCTCTGATTACTCAGTGATACTCAGTATCCAATCAGTGAGCAACGCTAATGCACTCAGCCCACTGCAGGCTATATATACATCTGCTCGGCCCGATCTAGCTTGCCTTGATCGCTAGATAGATTCCCGAGATTGTTAATAGTATCAAGGTGTGATACGGTTCTAGCGCTTTCTCGTATCCAGCGAGTGCCCGCGTATATATCTGCTGAGCCTAATCTAGCTTGCCTTGGCTAGTATATAGAAGCCTGAGATTGTTGATGGTGTGTAGGGCTGAGGTGTGGTCTGGTCCTAGCGCTCTCTCGTACCCCAACCAGCGCCCCGTATACATTTTCTCGGCAGTAGCAAGCTGAACCTGCTCTTCAAGCAATGTAGAAACATGTAATATCTTTTGCATCCTATCTCGCGTAAAATCAGAAGCTGTGTCCATTTCCAGGAAGCGTAGCGCGACGAGAATCAATTTTCTAGCGTTTCTCGTATTCTTTTTGTAGGTAACATCCAAAGCTTAGAGTACTTCGCTTACGATATGTCCCAGCAGTTGCTAACGCAAGCGCAAGGCCTGCAGGTCGCTCTGCAAGGCGTTTTGCGAGAGGATCTAACGGCTTTTATTAGTTGGCCTAGATTTATTGATAGGTTTCGTACCTGATTGAACACTCTGTCTTTCCGATCGGGTTTGTAAAACAGCCCGGCTATCTTCAACTCGCTTCCCACACTTCCGGCACCGAGCCGGACCGCACAACCACGGCGGATCCAATTTGGTCTCCCAACGAGTATTAGCACCAGACACCACGAGAAGGTATCATACCATTGTCCCAACAACCTGGCGAGGGCTGCTGCCCAGTGCGAGCTCACTGGGGGCCCTCTACTGCACAGTACGTCCTGAAACCGGTGCAACCACCTACGCTGTTCTTGATTCTCCAGCCACAACACCAAGAGACACTAGTCTATACTTGTATTGCTCCTTAAATGGATTACATGGTACTCTAAAGTATGTATTCGCTTGTAAATTCAATACAACCAACACATCGATACCTCACCTTCAAAGCAACCTCCCAAGGAGAAGGTATCTTAACTTTCAATCACGAATGGTCGAACCAATATGGCGCCAAACTTAGCCGCTTCAAAGCATAAGCTTATCTATGACATGATCGATAGTGGGGAACTAGCTGTATCATAGGTGGCACAGCCTGCCAGTTGCAATAGGAGTACAATCCTGAAAATCTCTTTTAATATATATATGCTTGGTAGCGTCAAAGCACCGTTCGATAAAGGCGGACAACCTCGTAGTATCACTCAACTCATATTCGAGGCTTCGCGTGATCATCTCTCGAAAAGCCCATATTGCATCTCGACGAGATGGCGAATTTTCTGTGGGACCGATTCGTTCTTCAAGCAACCAAATCAAGCATCAGCCGCGCTCTTACGTCTAAATGCTGGTTCCGCTTGTATATCTAGCTAGAGAATCTTAAAATAAGATCGTGAAAACGATTCAACAGACCTTTTGAAAGACGACCAAAATGAAAAAGGACTACACATAAAGAGCATTTGAGAAGAAGCATGTCAATAGGGCAAATCGATCTACCCGCAATGAGGGTATACCGCAACTACCAATTCAACAGGCCCCTGGAAACTCCAAGAAAGTCCCTATTCATAAACAAAGTATGCCAATGTAGTGAGAGTGAGTACGTGCCGGTGACTCCTGGAACCGGCTTATAAACGTATCAGTCAGAGTACTTCAATCACTTTTATTAACTTTTATTAAACGACTTTACGTACCTCGATGAACAAAGCTCTTTAGGCCACCTCTGCCATGATTTAGAGAACAAGCATGGCCAGTCTTCCAGTCATAACTGCCAGAATGCTCGACGAGAAGCCAAACAGCAAAAATCGCGCCGAAAGAGTATTTGTCGTGGATTGAACCAGGCTATGCAACACACGGACGCCAACGTATGTCCAGGCAAGAATCGAATCCAGTTGGGCAATCTTGCCTCCATGGGCAACCGCCAGCGCTAAAGCGATCGCGTAGAATTGGGTTGGCTGTTCAAATAGATGGTTATAGTTATCTCGCTTCCAGCGCGCAGGGGCAGGCATCTGTGCATCCATTTGGCTCTTGGTGATCTGGGATGTAACTTTGATTCTGTTGTAAACCGGAATGCAGACGGCGTACATCCATACTTCCATGACTAAGGTCCAGCCATTTAAGGCGGCGATAGGACCTAGGAGGCCAGAAGCAGTGATGCTTGACATATCGAATGTATTCATGGAGATGAAAAAAGAGTACAGCCTGGATTTCAGTACAAAGGTGCGACGCGTGGTTAACGGTTATATACAAGGCTTATAGCTTAGGCGCCGGATTTTAGCCCCTCGAACTCCGAAAAAAATATTAAAAATAGCATGTTCGGAATTCAGTCGTAGCGAAATCCGCAAGAAACGAGCGCTGGGCGCTGGGGAACGAAAAAGGGAGTGGGGAAGCCAAGCTAACTTTAGTAAGGTCGGGAATATTGTCGAGAGGGCAATAAGCTGCCAAGGCGCCGGCGTTTCTATTGCAGTGCGCCTAGTGAGTCCAGATTAGAGTCTGTCGACTCAGCAGGACGACATCTAGCTACTACCTTTGCACGGTAATTATCTCGCTATCAGACAGGTGGCCATAGAAAGTGCATGGCCCGGCTTAAAAGAAAGTGTGGGGGAAAATACGGCCATTTTACCACTAGACCATAACAAAAGCCAAGGTTCCTGTTTAAGGCCTATGGGGGCCATATTCCTAGTTCGACAGAAAGTCATCGCCGCACTCCGGCCGCAACGCCGCTCGGGACGAACCTAGCCTAACGCACGGCCCTTTTGCTAAGGATCTGACTTGGGGAGTCTCGCCTAGCTTGCCACGGCAGTCGATCCGTAAAACTGGCTAGACTGCTAGCCCGCGTGTTACAGGTAACTCCCAAAGAACGGAGAGCTAGTCCTTGGCATCTCTCTAGCTTGACACCGCGAATCACTTTCCTTAGAACTTAATCCTCGTAATAGCTCCACCTGCCTTTCCATAGGCCTCAGTACACATGTGACCCATACTATGATGATGATGATGATGATGATGATGATGATGATGATGATGATGATTTCATTAACCTGATGTAGCTCACTATTGCATACATGCTGTTATGCAGGTATTACGTCCCAGAGCCCACTCCCGACGAGAAATGGTGGTGCATCCCCAGTATACACCCACCCTGTATACAGGACTCGAGAGATTCTCGAGTCCTGTAACCTGAATTGTAAGGCCAAAAACCGGCCCGCGTAGTGTAAACAAGACAAAAGAAACAAACGTAAAGAAAGTCAATCCATCTGCAGTATAGATGGTCTCCCGCAGTCCCCGCTGGCGCAGAGAGTTCCCTCTTCTCTCTCTGCAGTGCACCTTTCTCTCTACCTGGCTCGCCGAGTCACCGAGTCCCTGCATCACCAGGACTGCCAGGTCTGCCCGCTGCATCACTCCGGCAGGTCGTACACGTACAGGTTTGGGTCGCGACGACATGCTTCGTCGTCTTCGCCGGCAACGTACGTTGTTTTCCATGTGCGTTCTTGGTGTGAGGCGACCTCGGCAGACCTGGTGCCTGGCCACTGGATTGTGCTCCCTGTTTCTCCAGCACCCGCAGTTTCTTGAATTGGTGTGACCCATACTATTGGTACATGTTATCAACTAGAAGAAGTGCCTTACCAAGTAAGATGTGGACCTTTTTGACGTAGTGACAACATGTGATTTCCGAGTTCTGACACATAGACCTCGCAAAGCGTGGGTTTGGGTTGGGGTTTCCAATTTCTTTACCCGCCCACTGGTAATCCACCATAGAATAGTGAAGATCTACATGCAAACAAGGCAATCACTATGATTAGATTTACATTATTGGCGATTTGCATCCCATTTTTTTGTGTATGAGCCGCATTTGAATTCTTAACTGCACATGACTCAGATGTGTGGAGCTTCGGAATTCTTTGAAGCCGAAAAAAATATATATATAAAAAAAAATAGAAAAGTTGCAACTCAGGATTCAGAAGCTTTCGGCGTCCGAAGCATGCCGAGCACGCTGCGGCGTTAAGATAACTCCGACGGGGTATCTTCTTTGAATTAAAAGAGTTGCGAAATTTTGTCTTCCAAAACAAGCACCCTCCTCTGATTCTCATTCACTATGGCTGGTCGCATCCTCCTAACTCTCGTTGCATTGACGACCTCGATCGGTGGATATCTCGCTGACTGGAATGAAACTCATGTTTTCAACCCTCGATGGACCCCTCACGCGAAATTCCATAATGGACAAACTATGTCTATGGGCATGGTTCTCGGTCTCACGACTCTGTACTTCCTGTATCGACCAAAACCTCAGTCACTGCTTGCATCAGTCCCTGCCGTTCAACAGACATTTGAAAGAGACTCCCTCGCTACAGGGGCATGGCTAGCAAGCCTTTACTGGATTACTCAATTGAGTGCCCTATTTTATCCCGGTTCCAAGGCCATGGATCCCGAATTTGGTGACGGGAATCCTCAGGTCTACATTTGTGGAACACTACTCACTATGGTGGTGATCGGAACCTGGTTGGAGATGGGGAAATTGAAAAGGAACACAAAATCGAGAAGGGAGTGAGGTCAAATTTACTGTATGCCCTGAAACGAACGAAGTGAGAGAAAGGGAATAGTCAACACGGATGTACGTGCGCGCGAGACTGTGCAATAAGAGGTGGCTAAACTATATATGGATTGTTTTGCCACGCACGTTCATCATTCGCTCTGCTGTCCACCGGTACCTGCATTATCATCACTTCCTTCGGACTAGATCGTCTTGGCTTAGGGTTGTAGGGGTTTGTCTGCATATTTCTGCACATTAATCTGCTATAATTGCTTCGTCATCTGCTTGTTGTCCCTCTATTTATTGCAACGCTGTGCCGTTTATCACCACTATCATTTCCTCATAGTGCGTTGTCTCTCCAGGTTAAATGCCTCTCGTATTTATCACCTCGTTCTAAAATGGCATCTAATCGGCCTTGTTATTTGACCGCCAAATGCGTCTATCTACAATTATCCAAGTGCAGCGCCACTTTACGCCTCTGCCTAGGTGGCACACCCTTTCGATCAGAAGTCCGCGCCAATAATTATGATTGACAGAAATAAATTCTCTCTTGATTTTCGCAGCGTAGGCCCACCCCCCTTTCCTAACTCTAAATCGGATCCTCTTCTAGAGGTGGCAGATGAATATTCTTCCCATCACCCTTGCTGATTTCTATGTTTTCCAAATCAATATTATGTAGTAGGCGGATCTAAAGTGGAATCACGATTTATCTGTTAGCCTATATGCACTCTCTTCCATAGTGTTAAACAGCATTGTTATATAGAGGTCGTGGTAATCAGCGAGGAAATCTCGACTTACATTAATAGCACATTGTCCGTATCTGAACTTGGGATTGACCGACTTGTTATAAACATTGGCACCACAGATTCCGCAAAAGAATATCTGTATGGTATGCGAACCGAACCGATATTCCTATATTATATTGGTTATTGATCTTAGAAATTGCGTAGGTGATTCGAACCTTAAGCGATTTTGTCCCTTCCTGAATTTCCATATCATCCACGAACGCAAGCAGACTGCCTGAAATGTGACAATAGCTACCTAGAACGGTTTTTTAGTCTGGGTAGTCAATCGCAATATATTACTAGTTCGTAGGGCAGGTAATATAAGCTTGGGCACATTATGCATATGTGTACATACAATTGCACGAGACTACTGTCAGTTGTGATAGTGAAGACGGTAGATTTGCAGAGAAACACACAGCCTTACAATGGCAACTTCCCTCGTAAGAGATTTCCGTAGAATGGTCCATAGAATGCTGTGTCTCAGGATACTTAGAGGTAGGCATTGCCCAAGTGTCAATTTCTGCGAGGCAGGTCTCTTTTTGCCGTACTTGAATTGGACTGGAGCAAGATCAAAATTTGAGAGCTGGTTGTAAGAAATGCACCAGAAGAGAATTGAATGATTGTGAATTATATGACTTGATTAAAGCCATGATTGAGAACCCAAGTATATATAAGCTGTGGAGCCAACATTGTTGGGAAGTGCTATTCGCCATTCACCACCTGTTGAGACTGAACGGACTCGGCTTGATTAATAAACCGATTCGGTGAATAGTTAGGTTACCTTGATATTAATTTGGTTACTAACGTATTTCCCGGGCGAGCTGCGCACCCCACCCAGCCTATTAAATTTAAATGTATTTATCTCAACCAAAACGCCATTAAATTGAATACACTAAAATAATCATATATCTGGGCATGTCTCTCTTCTATGTCCTGGTTGCCTACATATTCCACATCCACATGCTCGTCCGGGCCGTATAGCTGGCTGTAACCCCCCCCCCGCGAAACCTGCTCGCGATAATTGTTGATACGCGCTACTTAGGCCTTATATAGCTCTGAACGTAGCTCACGAACCTCCTGAACCGAGAGATCCCCTTCGTGACTATCGTCCTTGCAGATCGAGTTCGCTTTTGCTTTTTCTTCTCGTTTTCAGCGTGTAAATGGCTTACTTCTTTCTCCAGTAATGCGGCGGATTGCATCGTGATCTGGCAGGCTTTTAAAATCTGGTTTATAGCGGAATTGAGCGGGCTCGGGGGGGGGCCTTCTTTATCTCGTACGAAGCAATACTTTAATTGACGAAGTTTGTTTTTGCAATTGTATATAGTTCGAGGGCGTTTTTGGATCCCAATCACTACCCCGGCTAGAAAGGGGGGTAGGGGTTCGAAGCCAAATATCAAGCTTTGAGATCACTCTCTCCGGTAAAAAAAAGGGACTAAACCAGCTGCTCTGAAGCTATTTATAATAGTCTCCGATTGAAAAGCTTCAATTCGTGCGAGGGGGTATGCTTCGAGGAAATCAAGTTTGTCGATATGATTTATCCTAGCCCGCATTTTTGATTTAACTAGCCGACTATACGACCGTTTTAAGACCGCGAAACAGCCGATATCGAGAGGTTGTAAAAGGTGAGAGGAGTGCGGAGGCATACAGATTGGTATCACCTTATTCTCCTCCCAGATTTCATCGAACCTCGGGTTAAATGACTTCCGTGACCGTCGAGTATCAAAAGCCGATCCCCCCCTTCGTACGCGAAGAAGTAGTAGGAATAAAGAGCTTTTTAAGCCAGCGAAGACTAATTTCATCGGAGGTCCATCCATTCGGACTAATTTCAAAACGCCAATCGTCCGGGAGGTTATCGAACCAAAATTCAATAAAGACTTTGCCTTTAAAAATCACGCACGAAGGGGGCGCCCACCCAGAAGCATTCGTACACTCCCCATCGCGAAACCGGTCTCGTCGAAGTTATAAACCTTATCAGAGTCGATCCTAAATTGAAGGATGGTTTTTTGAATAAGATTAAACCACTCTATAATAACCTTCGGGTCTTCGTATATCGTACGATCGTAACTATAACGTCTCGAGAACCGGGAGGAAAGAAGAGGGTGCCTTTTAACAAATTCTGTAACCCAATTTCTGCCAACCGAAAGGACTGGGGTAGTTCCGCGCTGTTGAAGAAGATCCACTATTTCTCATACTGTGGAAGGCCGGGGGCTGCTCCACGAGAATCCATAGAGAGAATCCATTTGTAAAGCGATTACTCTTCGATTTTTGTCAATTTATGACTATTAGCGCGGGCTTCAGCGCAAAAGGTAGTCCCACGGAGGCGCGTTTGGAGGGTAGATTCGGGTACGTTAAAACGGCGCGCTGCTTCACGAACTGACGATATTTCTTTATTTTGCAAAGCCTGGATAGCTAATAATATCCTATCCTCTTACTCTGCTGAATTATTAGAGCTTCGGGCGCGTATTGGTGGCATAGTGGGTGGTTGAATTAACTAAGTGCTATTTCATAGACGCATTTTGGGTGGGGTGCGCAGCTCGCCCGGGAAGTACGCTAGTAACAACATAATCAAGTAAAATGATGAGTGATCATCCCGAGCCGAGCTTTTCAGTCAAACTTCATTAGCGTGCATCAACTGAACTCTTCTCTTACATGTATGTACTTTCCTCTCCTGTCTCTTGTTTTTCATCGTTTCAGGGCCGATGCGCGCGTCTTCCAGTCCAATAATACAGCCTGACTGGAATTGCTGAGGTATGGCTAAAATTAGACCAGTGTGTTTCAAAATAGGGTTGGGGAATGAAAGTCTAAGAGTGTAGAGTAAATATGATTTCGAATATTACTGTACATAAGATATATTCTTCTTGACTTCATGCGAGCATATAGAAACACGGAAATTTCCCATTTGTAAATATTGCTCAAAAAGAGCATGTCGCCATCCATCGGCCCGGGCTACGATACTAGCTTTAGATGGTCTATAGTCAGTCTCTGCCTTACGATAAGACACGTAGGTTAGTATATATCCTTCTAATAAGTTCTAAGATATCACGCACTTAAAATGATACACTTATTAAGCAAAACTCTTTAACGTATTCGGTAAGCAAGCTGCGCGCGCAAGCCAGCTGCCCAGGTGCGCAGTTCAAAACACATGGTAAAAGCCTACATTGCCATAGTGTTAAAAAAATACATCGGTGACTGTGAAATATATATATCCCAATCAAAAATTTATTAAATTCCTATAAAGTCTATATAATAGCCAGATATCATATAAAATGGTTTAGCCTTAATAAGGAAAAGTTCATATACACAAGCGTTGTTGCAATACCATGTTGTAATTTATTGCTTTCACTAGGTGTTTTGAGCTGTGCGGCTCACTTACCGAATACATTATATTCCGCTTAGGCTTTATAAGCCCTTTTAATAGACTTCCGTACGACCCAGTTTCGGTCGAAGGTCTCGATCCAGAACCCAACCTAGGCCCAACCCAGACCCATTACTGGGTTGTGCGGAAGACTAAACTTAGGTATTCATTCATTTACTGATTCGCCGACAGCGAGGTTAAAAGGTGATCTATATATAGATAGATCTATTTATTTAGAACGATTCTAGGCTCATAACTAACTAACGGATATCTTATATAAGTATATTTATATACCCTAATTAGGCTTAGCGCTATATATTTATACATCCGAGGGTCACTGCCAGGTCTACTTAGGTATAACTAAGTAAGCTTAATATGCAATTTATATGGGGGCCGACTGTCATAGCGGTCTATGTATTTTCCGAGGTGTTGAATATTCAGGTTCCTAGTCATGTATTGTAACATAGCTTTCGACAAAAAGGTCTTAGGGCGAGAACTGCCCGAATGGGCCGAATTCGGGAATTTCCCAACATCGGCTCGGGAACTACCCGTAACTACAGATAAGCTTACCCCACGACGCAGGCACCAAAGTTCAGATAGGACCTTGGAAGTTCTAATTTCTTCCATTCATGCATTTCCTTACCTAAAGATAATTGGTTCCCACCTTTGATCGTCGCATATCTTCCCACACATGTACCTAATCTTCCCCAATTGTTCCTGCGTTATCTCTAATCCAATCTGTTAGTCGTTAATCTGAGAACACGAGAATCTGAGAATAATCCGAGTTTGGCACTGATAGGTATTAATATCAAGTGAACCTAATCCGGAGGGATTCAAACTCAATAAGAACCCTTCTGCCCCAGAGTAGAAGGAGAGATTAGTTTCAACCACTCTCCTGTCGACAGTCTCATCCTTTTTGTGCTTCGTTACTCGCAATAGAATGCTGGGTCGAAGCCTTCTCCTGGCTGCTGCCGCGGCCTTGCCCGTGCGCGTCATCGCCTCCTCGGTAGCTCGAATTGGAGACATAGCCTACTATGTCCCAGACAAAGTCGAGGTATATGTGTATTCTTACCATTTCCGAACACGATGGCTGATAGAAGAATCAGGTCGACAAACCTTTCGATGTCAAAGAGCCGCTCCCTATCACGGTGGTGACTTCGACTAAGAAATCAATCTCGGCTGCATGGCTCAATGAGACCATCGCTGACTTTAAAGCAAGCGACGATGTCTATTCAGTGGACTTCTTATCAGGTAAATTGGTGTTATTGTTGAGCGATATGCTGTGGCTAACAAGACATCGATAGCCTTTTACTTTCAAGGTCCTGAGGGAGTTACTCTTGCAAGTGATGCTCGGGAACTCGTTCGCAATCTGAAACCACATTTTGTTGAATTTTCTCATTCCTCTTTTCATGATGCACTTCCTGACGGTCCGTACTTTGCTACACGCTACGGACTTCACCGTGCCTGGCGCCTCTATGACGACTTCAGCAACTCTTTTGTCCTTGCTTCAGTTCCATCGGACGAGAGTTCGGACATTTATGAGCCTCTTGCAGCCAACAGTGGAAACCAGTTGGGAGTGATCTCAGTGGCTGTCCCATCCAGACTTTTCTACACGCCTACCGCCGAAAAGCCTCTCGCTGGGTACCGTGTGGCAGTTAAAGATGAATATGATATTAACGGTCTCATCACGACTTACGGCAGTCGAGCCTACGCAAAGACATACCCCCCCAGCCAACCAGACCTCTGGAGTCATCCAGAATCTGATTGACCAAGGTGCCATTATTGTCGGCAAGACAAAGCTATCCTTGTTCGCGGGCGCTCTGTTCACAGCCTCTGAATGGCCTGATTATGAACTCCCAGTCGTACGAGAGATCCCCCCTCCCCACCAGAATGAAAGGTACTAACCATGTGCTAGAATGTCCGAGCAGATACGTATCAAATTCCTGGTGCGTCTTCAGCAGGATCTGGCTCCTCGATGGCTGCATATGACTGGTTGGATAACACAGTTGGTGAAGATACTGGTGGTTGTAAGTTTTATCTAATTGATCGGTTCCATGAACTCTTGAACTAAAGGTGCAGCTATGCGTTTCCCGTCCGCACTGAATGGTGTCTTCGGAATCCGCTCGTCAATCAACAGCACAAACAACACCGCCACAAAATTCGGACCGTTCGATGTCGCGGGACACTTTGCCCGTGATGTCGACTCCTTCAACACTTTCGGCTCAGCCATGTATCGCGGATCCGGATTGAAGAATTACACCAAGTTCCCCACCAAGATTCTCTACCCACGCGAGTACTGGATCAATATCGCGAAGGACTATACCGCTCCCGGCGAAAAATATGTCCAGAAATTGGAAGCATTCCTGGGCGTCAACCGAACTATTGTCGACACCAACAAACTGTGGCTCAACACTTCTGGCCACGGAAACGTCAGCATGGCAGACTACTTCAAAGATGTCAGTATCAACCTGGGTGTCGATTTGAAACGGTCGATAGGAGACCAAAGCTAACCAGACGATTCTCAACAACAGACTTACACATATGTTCAGAACTCTTATACATTTTCCAATGATTTCAAGGCAGACTACTATGAGAAGTTTGGAAGTTACCCCTACATGTCTGTCGACACAGTAGGGTCAAACTCTACCGAGCCTGAGAGCAAAGCCAAAGTCAAGCTTGGAAAGGACCGAAGAGCAGAGTTCCAATCTTGGTACAGAAAATACTTCCTTGGATCCGATGATGAGACGTGCTCACAGACGATTGTTGTCTTCCCATTCAACGGAAATGGTGGCGTTCCTTGGTACCGAGACGCTACCACGAAGGACTCAGCGGGCGGCTTTGCCGCTGCACCAGAGGGATACCTCAGCTGGAACATGCTTTCAGTTCTCAACGGAAGTCCTGAATTGGCAGTTCCCGTTGGTGAGGTTGGATATACGAGCAAGATCAGCTTGGTTGAAGAGAGGATTCCTGTTGCTCTTGAGATCCAAGCGGCTTATGGATGCGACTTGATGTTGTTAAACCTTGTCCGTGAATTGGCATACAACACAGACGCTACCAAGAGTGTCAAGACGGGACGCTTCCTGTTCTAGACTTATCTACCAGCATCAGTCTCATTATTTCTATGTTGTAACTAGATATTTTGTAGACGAAACAGAGAGAGAGAGAGAGAGATGGGGTAGACCTAGGGAAATGATTTGTTGATGATATTCCCCACTTCCACCAATGTAAACATCATGTGATACCATGATCAAATTGATGATGTGGAGTATCACGGTGCTGTGTTGAATACCATGGTGGCTGAACCTTATGGCAAGGATTAGGAACCGAGATATATACGGAGCATCCCGCCTCTGTAAAAGATAAAGGGAAGAAAGAGTGTGTCAATAGATTGTCCCTGGCTCGCGATATTCAAGTCAAGAAGAAATGCAGTACAATAAGTCTATGGATGATAAATGTACAGGAAGTAGTTAAGGGTCAAAAACCTTTCCAGGGTTCATTAACCAGAAGGGATCCAACGCATTTTTGATCCCACGCATGACAGCCAAGCTCCCCTCTCCTACCTCTTTCACCATAAACTCTTTCTTGCCCAAACCAATGCCGTGCTCGCCCTAAGCCTCGGTCAGTACTCACGATAGCTCGAGTCGAACAAGGATATTACTCACTGTGCAGGTTCCTTCCATTTCAATCGCGCGATGAACCATATCGTGAACACACTTTGACACCTGCTCACGCTCTTTGGCCCCGTCGTACAAAATGGTCTCATGGAAGTTACCATCGCCAATATGGCCAAGCATGCTGCCAAAGAGCCCCAGCTTCTCAAGATCCTTCTTCGACATCTCTGTTGTCAGTGTGAGCCAAATCATGCACCAAACTGTCGTATACTGGGTGAAAACTAACCGACTAAGTCCGGAAGTCGAGAGATGGGGACAGCCACATCAGTAGACCAGGCCTCATGGCCAGATTCCCTCATGCAAAGCATGCTCCAAAAGGCCTCCTTGCGTGCGGACCAAAGCACTGCTTGCTTGGATTTGTCTTTTTCCACCTCAAGATCACCTCCCTTATTTTGGTCAATGATCTTTCGAACGGATTCGACGTTATCTTGAACTCCCGCCTTTGTACCACTGAACTTGAAAAATAGTGTTGGCATCTCTTTCCACACCCTGCCAGTGGATCCCATTTTGTTAATGACAACCATCTGGACATCATCCATCAGCTCGACAGCCCCAACTGGTATTCCCTCACGGACAATTTGGGTGGCCGCGTTTGCGGCATCTCTCATTGTAGGGAAAGTTGTCAGAGCAACGCCGGTTTCTTCGGGAATACGAGCTAGCTTTAGAGTGGCCTCAGTGACAAAGCCTAGTGTTCCCTCAGAACCGGTAAACAATCCGTTCAGGTTATAGCCGGCCGAAGACTTGCTGGTTTTGAATTAGAATATTGCAATACCTGCAAGAGACAGAATCAACTTACCGTGGCCTTTGTCGAGTTTTGATCACCCTTCCATCCGCAAGAACGACTGTCAAATTGACAACCCAGTCTTTCATTGTCCCGTAGCGTACGGCGTTTGTGCCACTTTGTTCGCAATTCAGTATGGCGGTTGTTCAACTTTCTCAGGAAAATCAACCGATAGTTGACCTACCTGCAATTGGTTGCGATCATTCCTCCAATTTTGGCCTAATATTAGAGTTAGAATCTCGAACAACATGATGGGTTACATGAAAGCATACCGGTGGCCCAGGGTCAACCGGAAAGAATAGTCCACTTTCTTTGATATCTTCATTCAGTTCCATCCAGGATACCGACGGTTGTACAACAATATCCATACTATAAAGGTCAGACCTTGATCATACCTCATGGGACGGAGCGGGGAAGACAAACTCTTCTGGGTGAAAGGCAATAACTTTGCTCATGTTGAGAAAGTCAACACTTACGCCCCCGAAAGGTGCGGAGAAATGGCCCTCGACGCTAGATCCACCGGAGTATGGGACTAAAGATCATAATAAATTTATGTTTGAGATTCCGTCCTGGTGCTCTGGTACTTACTCATGGGCACTTTGTGTTTATGGCAAACTCGGGCAATTGTGGCCACCTGTTCAGTGGATTCAGGAAAGGCAACCGCTACAGGAAGACGATCGATGTTGACTGAAGACCATTCCGAATAGCCGTGAATCTTCAAGTCCTCGTCATCTGTGCTTACGCATTCTTCCCCCAGCTCTTGCTGAATTTCTGCAATAGCCTATTTGCCAGTGTCAGAGGTAAGATAAAAAAATTGAGGAAGACAGACATACTTTCTTCATATTTTGAAGCGTTGCATATTTTGGTTTGGTGATCGTTTTTTCATCAGGGGGTGATTGCTTTAAAGTATAGATTAAAGATGCCGTGGTAATAGATGCACCAGCAGCGGCTAGGAGGGGCTTGAACCAGCCGGCGGATTCTGAACGAGGTTCAGATGTGCCATGGGAATATGCACGACCCGATGATTCATTGAGAAGGATCGAGGATGCCTTGGACACTTGTCTTCTCGCTGCTGGTAGGAGTTTCTGCTGAGGTTTGACTGCGGACAAACGTCGTAACATGATGATGGCTTCAACAAAGATCTCGGTAATCCCACTCTGGTAAAATGGAACAAATCTTTAACCATGAGATTATTTAATGTTCTTCAAAGTATGAGGTCACGATACCTTGTAATATGAATAATTCGGCCTGATCACTGACCTGGGCTTTGGCCTCGGGTATTTCCCATGGATTTTGTACTTTCCGATGCCAACTACCCGACTTCGGCATGGGGCTCAAAGTTTTACTATAGATGATTCATCTATGGATGGCAATTTCGACCTCGGGAAATACCCGATCTATCCATTTATCTCCAATATGGGGGTTTTATATAATAATGAAGAATCCTATACCTCAAAACCTGGCAGCGACTACATTGAGAGCGGTTGAATGACCATACAATCACGATGTAAATTCAAATCTCCCCCTGGATATACCTTTAAAGCTCAATATGATACAGGTACACCGCATCTTATGCTTTCTTTGAGGCATTGTGGGAGCTGGGGGTCCGGAATTGCTTCGTGAACCTGGGCTCTGATCACCCCAGTATCATGGAAGCAATGGCAAAGGGGCTGAAAGAGAAGCCAGATTCATTCCCCAGAATCTTTACCTGCCCAAACGAGATGGTCGCCTTATCGATGGCCGATGGATACGCACGTGTCACCAAAGAGCCTCAGTGTGTTATCATTCATGTGGATGTTGGCACCTCTGGCCTTGGGGCTGCAATCCATAATGCGTCAACAGGACGTGTACCTGTGCTTATCTTTGCGGGTCTATCTCCTTTCACCATGGAGGGGGAGATGCGGGGCTCTCGCACTGAATACATGTGAGTGGAACCTCAATCTACAATGGCATGGGTCGTTACTGACCAAGACATTGATAGCCATTGGCTTCAGGATGTTCCAGACCAGAAGCAGATTGTCGCACAGTACTGCCGCTATGTTGGAGAAATCAAAACCGGCAAAAATATCAAGCAAATGGTCGGCCGTGCCTTGCAATTCGCGACTAGCGATCCGATGGGTCCGGTGTATTTGATGGGAGCTCGTGAAGTCATGGAACAAGACATCCAGCCTTACTCTTTGAATACTGAACATTGGAAACCCTGTGAGGCAGCCGCCCTTCCTGAGGCACATGTGGAATTGATTGCGGATCACCTTGTCAACGCTCAGGAGCCACTTCTCGTCACTGGCTATAGCGGCCGTGATCATGAATCAGTGGAAATTTTGACCCAATTAGCAGACGCGGTGCCAGGTCTACGCGTTCTCGATACTGGCGGTTGTGACATGTGTTTCCCTTCCGACCATCCAGGCTGGTTGGGGATGCGATATGGGTCAGACCCTAGCATTGAAACTGCTGATGTCATTCTCATTGTCAATTGTGATGTTCCCTGGGTTCCTACTCAATGCCGCCCGAATAAAAACGCAACGATCATTCACATCGACATTGATCCTTTGAAGAAACTCATGCCGTTGTTCTATCTCCCAGCTATTCGGAGATATTTGGCTGATGCCACGACCGCTCTGACTCAGGTATTATCATTCATTCATTCGTCACCCGCTTTACAAGCGGCTTTGAAATCGCCGGTACAACAAGAACGATTGAATTTGCGCCGAGAAAGTCACCAGAGGCTGATTAAAACACTCGATGAGAGATGTGATCTGTCCGCGGATTCGACTGGCTTCAACGCCTCTTTCTTGTGCCAGAAATTGAGAGAGCTTGTGCCAGATGACACCGTCTTTGCTGTTGAGGCTGTCACTAACTCAGTTCTCGTTTCTGATCAAGTCCGTCCCACCGGTCCTGGTCAGTGGATTAACTGCGGAGGAGGTGGCCTTGGATGGAGCGGTGGTGGTGCATTGGGGATCAAGCTGGCCGTTGACGCGTTGAATCCGACCAAGAAGCCACTCGTTGTTCAAGTGGTTGGAGATGGGAGTTTTCTCTTCAGTGTTCCGTCGAGCGTGTACTGGATCTCTCACCGATACCAAATTCCTATCCTGACAATCGTGCTGAACAACCAAGGTGAGCTCACATCCTGACTGGTACTAGCGCACCACACTCACACTAGCTCTCCTGCAGGTTGGAACGCACCTCGACGATCAATGCTGCTTGTTCACCCCGATGGACATGGATCAAAGGTTGATAATCGTGAGCTTAACATCTCGTTCGAGCCCAGCCCAGACTATTCCGGTATCGCGAAAGCTGCCAGCGACGGAAACATTCATGCGGTCAGGGTAAAGGATCTTACTAATTTGGTGCCCACTCTCAAAGAAGCTATTGAGATTGTCAAAGGGGGCACCTCGGCCGTCGTTGATGCGCATGTTCTATGATTGACTTTTGTCTTAAGAGGTAGAAGATTTAAGAGTTAGAAAATTTCAACACAAAACAGTCAGGTAGGATCATATGTACTTTGTTGCTCTATTGCAAGGAATCACATGGATCAATGAGATGCTACGCTGAGCATAGTAGAAGATAGGAAGCATCGATCAGAAACAGAGCAGGCACAAAGACATACTGTATTTCTACGGCTAGGAGGAGAGATGGGGCGAACAGAGGGGAGGGGAAGATAGCCTGAATGAGTCCTGTGACCGCCCTTGACAGAAAGGAAAACTCAAACAAAATAAATGAGAGAAACACCGTGAGACATCGGAAGCCGGAGAATTCACTTGATCCCCGCTGGTTAACTGATGATGACGTTAGCTTCGCCGCCTTGGCGCGTCGGGTAATTCCCGAGACCAACTACGCGAAATTCCCGAAGTCGCGATCAGGTCCCCTTGCTATCATTTCTACAAGTAGGTAGCTCAATTTGCTTATTTTGAGTAAATATGTCAGAACCACTCCAGAGTAGTGTACGTGGCATCCCCGAGCCTGATCCAGTGTTCTCTGGTCCTTGGAGACGACCTGCTTACTCTCGTCACGGCTATGTAGGCGCACGCACGATCTGGTTCTGCTCAAAGTTCATCCCCGAAGCGCAGGCGCGTCGCGCTAGCATGTCAACACTGCCGAGAGCGCAAGGTGCGTTGCGATGGAGACAGGCCAAAATGCGGTGCCTGTCAGAGGCGGGGAAACACGGATCACCCATGCGAGTATCTAGTGATTGCGGAAACGGCCAAATACCAGACTGAAAAAGCGTGGGTATTCATTGTGTCTTCTTCACAGGCTCAAAATTGACATGGAATTATACTTTAGGTATTTCCATTCACTTCGTGCCCACCTTGCAGATCTAGAAACCGGTCAACCTCCCGGGTCCCCTCGTCCAGCTGGAACTGCGCTTTCAGATCGGGAACCTCGAAAGGAACATACTACCTCTCCCACTGGTAGCACACTGCCCATATCTCTCGCCGCCATGGGAACGGCGGTGCCAGGTACACCCGACGCGGCCTGTCATGATCAGTACTATGGACAAAGTTCTCTGGTATCCCTAGTGCATCAATATACCCAAGGCTCACGTAGAACCAGAGACACTCAGTTGCAAAGGAAGAATGCTGTGATGAGCAGCATGTCCCCGTCATCCTTTGCATCTAGTCCCAATGTGTCTTCGTCAACAAATATGGCCGCGATGCTCTCGGACGACTTTTCGCTTCCGCCTCGACGTCTTGCAGACTGGCTGCTCGATGTCTATTTCAACAGCAACCATACATTCTACCCCTGGTTTCATAAAGAAAGCTTTTTAGCCACATATGAAGGTTTATGGACTAACCAAGAGAACAACACGAGCAAGAACCTTCCAGACGTGGGCCTCGGTGGTTTGGATTGCCCACCCACTGTATTCAATTGTGCTTTGAATGCAGTTTTTGCCATAGCGTGTGAATTTTCCAATATGGACCCTTGTGACAAGCGAACCTCTTCTATGATGTTTTATGAACGGATGAAGAGCTTAATGAACATTGATATCCTCGACAGCGGAAGTCTAGCCCATGTCCAAGCGCTATTGATAGTCGCGATATATCTGCAGTGCACACCATACCCCAAAAGATGCTGGAATGTGATCGGGATGGCACATCGGATGGCAGTCGGCCTCGGTCTGCGAAATCGCCGACAGTTCAGCCACATGACTGCTCTGGAACAGGAGATACGCTGGCGAGCCTGGTGCGCTTGTGTACAAATGGATGTGTATGTTCATTCTATCTACTCCTCGTAACTCCCAGGGCTAACTCCTTCACAGAATAATTAGTATGACGATGGGACGTCCACCCATGACCCCAGATCACTCAAGAGTTCCGTTGCCCTCACCGATTGATGACAAATACCTTTCTCTCGACAAACAAGGAAGTCAACAGCCCGAAGGAACAATATCTACGAACCAATTCTGGCACGAAAATATGAAGCTCATTGGAATCCTTTGGAAGGTCCTCTTAAAAATCTATCACAGTGAAGACGATTCCTCAGACGAGGAACACTCACCCTCGCGTGGAAAGAATTCCAAGGATGTTATGGAGATAGATAAAGCGCTGGAAGAATTCGAAGCCTCACTCCCCGCCGTCTTTGCATGGAAGCTACCCAATATTACAATTTCAAATCGCACTTTCCGCCGACAATCCAACGTTCTCCATGCTAGGTAAGAGTCATGGGTGAAGAATCGTATCCAAATATTGACTTTATCTTCAGGTATCTACACTTGAAGCTGTTGTTATACCGGCCTACCTTCAGCGTTTACTGTTCCGCCACTATGTCTCCTTCCGACCAGGCGCAGCCTGGCTTCTGGTCAATTCTTTACCGCCAGAATGCTGCCCTGAGATGTGTACAAGCTGCGTGTGATCTCATTCATTCGCTGTCAAAAGCCACAACAGAGGATGCAACAGGTGCATGGTGGTACGGAGTATTTTGTTCGTATCATTCAAGTCTGCACCGGTACCATATTGCAACTGCTAACATTACATTAAGATTTAATCAGTGCTGGCATCATTCTTGTTCTTACCGAATCAAGTGGCGCGGACTTCAGCGGTATAACTCCAATGCAACTGGAAGATTCGTGGAATGAATGTATTGAAACACTGAACCGAATGATCGGGGTACACCCATCCGCCCGAGATTATTGCATTGCATTAGACGAGCTTCGACATAGCGCAAAATTATCTCGAAGTGAGACTCATCCGCTCTACGTCCTCCTCGAGTCCAGCTAATTGAAAATAGGGCCTGATCAATATCGAGTGAGCCAAGCGCCCTCAGACGCTGCGGGGCAAGATGAAATAAACCAAGGCCCTGGCAGCCTGATGCAGCCTGATCACACAGATTTTGGGGTCCCAGATCCATTCTTCCAGAACTGGGACACGGACATCGGCGACATTATGCTTCCTGCTCAATTTTTACAAAGCCTAGACGAAGATATCTTGTTACCACACCTCTTTTGAGAGCGTGAGCCCTTCGGGACTTTGGTGCTTGCGGTAGATAGCAAGGAAATTTTGGTCCTCACCCTTCCATGACTACCTTGAATTATCAACCTTAACAGTTTATAAGACAGAAAAACTCGAAGCCTCAAACGAAAGAAATCTAGAGTGAAAGGATTCACAGAAGCGGCGTAAACCGATGCAACGAATAATCTTTATTCTCGGTATGGTTTCTGGGAAATGTGGTTATCAGTAAGTGGCGAGCCTTCATATCAAGATAATGGGGACATGTCAATTTATAGAATCCGATGAATTATATGATCCACTTTGCAGAAGAAAATCTCTTAGCTTTACAGAATACCGAGTCGAAGCCAGTTCTCGACACTAGGTGGCAGGCATTTCTTCCCCCGGGGTCTGGGTCGTGCACGTCTCGGGCACGGGTAGTTCCCGAGTGGATTAGATGCTCCGGCATGTCTCATCCTAATACGCGATTGGATTATTCCCATTCTCCCCGCACTCCCAGAGTTGCCCAGGAAACTCTGTACATGTACGAATTGCGGGGTGCGTGCAGATCTGGGGTATCAATCGTGGATACCGATGAGTGGTGATCAATCAGGAGCAGCTGATGACAATCGGACATCTGACGGCAGTGAGAAGCGGGAATTCAAATTTTTGCCTCCCATTTACTATTAGAATAAGAATAGAACGCATCGTCATAGCTTTAGCTGGTCAGAATATACCTTACGAGGTCAATTGAGAACATAAATACGACATACCCCGTCTGAGATTTAGTCAACTGTGGGCTAGAATATCTTCTTTCTATATCATTTAACCGATATATTTCTCCCTGCGCTCGTTCATATTTATTCCTTTTGATTTGGTCTGTATTGGGCTAAACGAAATGGAACTGAACGTTGAAAAGGACTTGGAACCCATCCACATCGACTGGATTGAGGGAGGGGAACATCATGTCGAGTATGACGCACTTGAAGAGCAGAAAGTAATCAGGAAATGTGACATACATGTCGTGCCAATTCTCATGCTTCTGTATCTTCTTGCGTTCCTAGATCGCATCAACATCGGTAACGCACGTTTGCAGGGGCTCGAAGATGACCTGAACATGGAAGGGCCGCAGTACAACTATGCCCTAGTAATTTTCTTCGTGCCCTACATTATTTGTGAAGTGCCGTGCAATTTGATCATGAAGAAAATGGCCCCGTCTACTTGGATCTGCGGAATCATGGCGGCATGGGGTAGGCCACCTCCCACCACCCCCGTTAACATTGCTCTTCATATTAATTGCGCTGAATATAAGGATGTGTCACTATTGGCCAGGGCTTTGTGAAAAGTTGGGGTGCATTGATGGCGTGCCGATTCCTGATTGGGTTGTTTGAAGCCGGCTTTCTGCCTGGTGGGTGGCCCAACGCAAAGCCAAGTTACACTCTGACAGAAAGACAGGCTGCGTCTACTTGATCTCAATGTACTACAAGCGCTTTGAGCTCCAGTGGCGGTTGACGTTATTCTTCAGTGCTAGTATTGTATCGGGGGCTATAAGTGGGGTAAGAGTTTTCTTACATATAGTTGACAAGTCTTTGACTCACATGTGGTTTTAGCTACTGGCCTATGGACTATCTTATATGGAGGGCATCCGTGGATATTCCTCCTGGCGATGGATATTCATTCTCGAAGGGCTCGCGACTGTGGTAATTGCGCTGCTGGCGAAATTACTCGTTGTGGATTGGCCGGAATCTGCACGCTTTTTGAATGAGCGAGAGCGCACAATTCTTCTTACGCGCCTGAAGTCCGAAAATCACTTGTTTCCCATGGATCGTCTGAACCGGACCACCATCCTCCGGATTTTGACCGATACGAAAATCTACCTAGGGTATGCGATCTGATGAATGACATGAAATTAACCAAATTGGATCTGACAAATTCCATGCAGAATCGCCATGTATCTCGGAGCGTTGAACACAGGATACGCAGCTTCTTTCTTTATTCCGTCCATCCTCCGAGATATGGGCTGGACTTCCTTGATGGCACAGGTCATGAGCGTTCCGATCTATATCGTGGCAGCCATCATAACCTTGTGTACTGCAATTCTCAGTGATAAAACGAAGCACCGGTTTGGCTTTGTGCTGTTAGGATGCAGTTGTGCCACGATAGGTTATAGTATCTTACTTGCACAGCAAACAGTCCCTGTCGGCGTGCAGTACTTTGCACTATTTGCTGTCACCGGAGGTGGCTTCATTGCCCAACCTATCCTCATAGGATGGCTGAGTAACAACATGAGTGGTCACTACAAGCAAGCCATTGCATCTGCGATGCAAATCGGATTCGGAAATTGTGGTGGGTTGTTCGCGAGCAACATATTTTTGTCGTCGGAGGCACCATTCTATCCAACAGGCTATGGCACGAGTCTAGCTTTGATCTGGGTATGTGGGCTATCCGCTTTTATCTTTGTTTCTCTTCTGTGGTGGGAAAACAAGCAAAGAGACCAGGGGGCGCGGGATGGTAGATTGGCGCTCGATCCTGAGGAGGTACAAAACTTAGGAGATGATCATCCTGGGTTCCGTTTTACATACTAGTCAGCTATTTCCAATTGACTGGCTGGTGTGGGATTGTTGCGAACTGGTATTTCAATGATGTCATTTGGGAAAGAAAATAACTCGGGATTTTCCAACCTTGCGATGGCTCTACGCATGCGCTTCCATCTCATACATTGGAGCGATCCAGGTTCACGAGTTGACGTGCTGTTTAACTTCTCATTTTCTAATTTGTCCAGACAAACTCGATTTTAAATTCATTTCCAAGGTTGCAGAATAGTGAATCAGGTGGTTAATGTTGAATGTTATATCCACAGCGTGAAAAGTTCTTACTTCCCAAGGTTTCTTAATACTACCCAGGTATCTTCCCAAAGAAGCCCAGTGTAAGAATCGTGACTGCTACTTTTGCAAACCAATTTTTGAATTTTGCAAACGATTATACTGAGCTAGTATAGCCTGACTATGATGTGTTGGGAGCTGAGGATGATAGCTCGACCCAGGAGTCGTGGACATACTCTGCAAGAGTAAGAATCTTCTCTTCCTCTAAACGTCGGCCAATAAGTTGGATCCCCACCGGTGCACCATCATAAAGCGATGCGTCGTCTAAAACAGTTTTAGATGAAATCAAGTAGTCGACAGGACTTTACACTCACATTCAGCATGTTGACCCAAGTCAGCATGCTCAAGCTGGTCGAGATCCTTGCTCGCGTGTATTATAGGGATAACCGCACTCGTGAGATCCAAAACATTCACGAAACTCGTATATCCCACGTGGCGGTATCGGCCTGGAATGACAGCTGCGTGAGGTGCGGTGGGACAGACGACAGCATCCACGGGGCGTCCGCTTCTCGTCAAGCTGGAGGTTGAATGCCAATAATCTAGATATGACTTTTGATACTGACGCTTCCTAATATTGAGATTTGCTATTTCTACCGCTTTCAGGTATGTTGTTTCGGCCACAAAGCACTGTGGAGGTTGTGGCTCGCCTGATAAAGCGAGATGGGCATGCACATCTGCTCCGCCATCCATCTGGAACGTCTCTTCCTGGGAAAAGTTATATCTCTAACCATATTCTAGTGCATTATAAGGGGACTTACTGCGATCACGTGGGCAATTTTGTGAGGAGGTGGACGCCAATCGATGATCTATTCCAAGTCAGTCTTCGTAGTTAACCTTGAGAGACACAATGTAGGAAGTGTTTTCTCACTTGATGGCCCTGGCTCCTCAACATCTCTTCCATTAACCTTATAGCCCTTTGAACCGGAGGCTGGGGTTGCACCACACCATCATGGTGCATGATACCAAAAGAGAGTGCAGAAGGGTCTCCACCAATGCGTTCTTGGATTTGTCTCTCGACCGAGTTCCGCCATGGTAGCTCATGAACAAGCGGGTCATGATTCCAAGGACTTTGCTCCAGAATGGCTTTGACAAGTAACTTCAGTGAGCGAGCGGTTGTGGCCATTGGGCCGACCACAGACAGGATGGTGCTCTGGCCATCCATGGAGTTTGCCGTGCCTTCATAGGGCAGTCTCCCAGTGGAAGGACGCAGGCCAAATATTCCGTTGAAGGCGGCAGGTACTCGGATACTGCCTCCAATGTCTGTACCGAAGCCAGCAGGCGATCCTCGAAGCGCAAGTAGCGCAGCCTCGCCCCCGGAGCTTCCTCCGCAGGAAAGATGGCGATTCTTGGGATTCCAGGTGTATCCGATAATATTGTTTGCAGTCTCGCCTGACATCAATGTTGTTGGTACGCTGGTTTTGCAAAACAGTACTGCTCCAAGATTCCGGAGTTCTCTGACCAGTTCACTCTCGAAGGTGCGTGCACGCGTGTCACCTTTATTGCCTTCAAAGGTGCCAATCCATCCAACATAACCCATGGTTGTTTCAACTCCCTTGATATGAAACTGATCCTTGAGACTGACTGGAAGCCCATGCAAGGGACCAACAGGCTTTTGGTGCTCCGCGAAATATGCGTCAAGTGCGGTGGCTGCGGCAACTGCTATGTCGAAGAATATCTCATGGAGACAGTTCACCTGCAGATATTTTAGCATTGTTATATTGTGATCAGCGCAGTGAAAGACAGGTATGTACAAGTTGGTGCGCAATAGCTGCTCTGTGACAAAATGCCTCGGTCACCTCCACTGCACTCCATGAGCCCACGGTGGTATATTGGGTGATAAGCACAGCGTCAGCCTCTGTGATTTCGATCTCCCGTGGAGACAGATATTGTTGGATGTATGACTCTGTACAATCTCGCAGGTCGACCGCAGAGGGTATGGGACCTGTAATTCTCCACTTCTTGGGAATAGCGCTCAGAATAGCATGCCGTTTAGCGTGGGAACGTTCCTGCCAAGTGATTTCTTTCTCTGTCGTCATTTTGTGTTGTCCGCCTCTTCGATCTTTTTTCCTTTTTGTGCATGCCGGGATACGTTGATAAAGGTTATTTTCCCCATGACGAGTAGGCGTGGGTCCGGGAAATTGCCGAACTTCGATCACCAATCGGATAGTACCTGAGCCTCGTAACGCTGAGTGTCTGGAGTTTGGGAATGCATAAAGTGGTGAAGAAATTTGTGTGGCGAAGAGAGGCGTGAAGGACTTGGCACCTAGGCAGCTGGGCTGCCGGAGTCCTAAAATATCCAAATGGGATCAAACTTGATATACTTGATACCCAGATCGGTCGTGGCATTGGCATCAACTCCATTGTACACTCTGCTAAGAATAGCCAGAGACAACAATGCGAGAGGTGCCCGGATGAGCGCTGCCGTCAGCAACGAGCCGGGACAGCCCAAGGCCGGAAGCCAGAACCATCAGTATGGAAGATTGAAATATCTTGGCAAATGCGCGTAAAGACCACGGTAACTTGGGAAAACTACAACAGAAAGATGCCCGTCATCGCATTGCTGGTCCGTATTTACGAGATAAGATGACCCCTTATCTACGATCTGTGATCAGGGATCACTGCCCAGGTTCACCAAATAATTTGCCGATAAAGTATACTATTTCGTGTACAACCAACACCGAAGCGCCCTCCCACACAGGCACGCCACCGCAGTATCGGGCCGGAATTGGTATCCACTTCCAAATCCCGGAGGCAGCAGACGCCGAATGTTCACCAGCTCACTTTAGATGAGAGATAAGAGAGGAAGAAACGTACTTTATAGATGCAATCAACAGAAGGAATTAGATACATACTTTGAGATAGCGGCTAGCATTCCCTTCTTCCAAGGCATGTTTAATCGAAGGTTGTTTGTCGGTGACGCGGAACCGTATGACTCCCGCAGTAGGGTTTGGGGGGTCACTACTCCGGGCTGACTCGGGCAGAATTGCAGCCTCTGAACGCCCTTTCGCAGTGATTTAGACCAAATGGTCCACCAAATAGAAAGACCCTGGGGGCCCAAGGCCCTTGGACGAGATTCCGAACTCGGCAAGTAGACTCCAGAAAGAGGATTGACTGCTGCCAAGGCACACCGAAGGAATTTCTCATGGCAATTGTATTCACCCGATAACTCATGCGCTAAAATAAATTCACAATCGTTTATGCTCAAAGATCACTCAACAGATCTCATCAATCTCATCAATCTCATCGCCAACAAGTACTTTCACTCGCCTCAGTCTGATGAATACTAGATCAGACCGTTTGTTACCCCCCCTCCCCCAGTCCCATACTAAACCTGATCTCCTACTGGGAAATTGGCATTCTATGCCTCCTTCTCCTCCTTCTCTGTAGGCTCTTTCGTCTTATTTTTAGACTTTTCATGCTCGCCGTCAAAGAGAACAGCGATTGCTTCAAGCGAGGGACCCTTCGTCTCAACAAAGAACCCCCAAATAACGGCAACCTCGACGCAGAGCCAGGCCACGTAAACCAAGTACAACTTCCAACCAATTGCCTGTAATCCAATTGGGTTGACCAGGATGTTGATGAAATTGCTTGCCTTGCCAAAAAACATGAGAAGAGAAAATCCCTTAGCACGGATGGGGTACGGAAGGACTTCGACGGGATACGAGTAAAGAAGCGCGTTGAAGGCCAAATTGAAGAAGAAGTAGAATAGGAAGAGCATGGCTATGACGACGTGTCCAGCGGCCACGTTACCATAGTCGTTGAACAAAGCGGCACAGAGAGTCTGGACAGCGAAGACGGCCAGCATGCCAAAGCCAGAGATGAGGAATTGCGTGCGGCGGTTGATTCGGGCAGTGAGGAAGGCAGAAACCACCGACGTGACCCAGTTGAAGATCATCAGTGAACCATTGAGGATGTTCTTTTGTCGGGTCTCAGTAACACCCACAGTCTCTAGGACTCGAACAAGGTAGTATCTAAACTTAGTTAGCAGAGCAATCCTATAATGGGGGATGTGTAGGGGTATTCACGAAACCAGTCCATTGCCTGACCACTGCGAAAACACGCCGAGACAGATGATAATGAGCAGCCTCTTACGGTTGCCAGGGGTGGTGAAGAAAGCCGACCAGCCGGTTTCATTGTTGATCTCTGCTTCGATGATATCGCGCATCTGGTCAAACTCGAGACTGACAAACTCACTGTTGACATCATCGTTGGCATGATACTTGACCAGCACAGCCTTGGCTTCCTCAGCGCGACCTTTGGCAATCAACCAGCGGGGGGACTCAGGCAGGCAGTAAACCCCTACCATCTGACAGAAAGCAGGAGCGGCTTGCAAGAGAGAGGGGATTCTCCAGGACCAATTGTTGGGTATGCTGAAGGTGCCAAAAGTGGTCCAGGCAGCAATAATGGCACCGATGTACCAAGAGGTCTGGTATAGCGAGGTGACGACCTGCCGCTCTTTGGGGTGGGCTAATTCACCGATAAGCATAGGGGCGAATGAGTTGGCAAACACGATTCCGATTCCAATGATGAAGCGAGATATCATAAACATGGCGACTGCAAGCAACGGGTGTCAGTAAAGCGGGGTTGGGAAAGTGCTTCAAAGTTTTTGTGGCTAGGTCGGTAACAACATACTGTGAACAGAGGTCCCCTGTATAATTCCACCAGCCGCCATGATGATAGAGCCAACGAAAATACCGGTCCGTCGGCCCCAGCGATCGCCGACGATGGAGATGAAAGGTGTGGTAAGAACACAGCCAAGGGGCAGAATGGCAGACATGATACCAAGGAGACTCCCTCGAGGTTTGTTGAAATCTGGAGCGGAATGAGTATCAGCCTCGGCCACCACTTCAACAGGAACAAGATAAATGAAAAGAGAAAGCTAACAAACGTCCCAACTGGGCACCGCCTGCAGACCATTCATCATGGCACCATCAAAGCCAAGGGTTATTGCAGGAACTAAGCATCCTGGAATCATGAGAAGGTATAGGATGAGCAAATTCCGGTTGCGATAAAAGGGCGGACACTCGTCGGCAAGCTTTTGGATGTGCTGGCCGACGTCCAAGGTATCTGCGTCCAAGCCTGAGGTGGCTTTCTCCACAAAGGAGCTGCTGGGCAGCTCTTTGTCAGTACTCTGCCTGGACATTGGAAAATGTTGTCTGCTTGGGTCAGGATTCAATGCTCAGAAGAAATGATCAGAATAACAGCGAGTAAGTCCAAGAACAGGGACGGGGCGTAGAAGATTGCTCGTTTCGTCCTCAATTAGCCGGGCATCTACCACCTTTTTGATACCTGGAACCCGAGAATAGGAAATCGCTAACCGAAGCCTAATTTTTGTATTTACCCCGCCCTTATTTCCCCATGGAGAAGAATCTAATACCCCGATATTATGTGGGGGATGGATCTAGATACCGGCGCCCCAGCCCCGGACACCGTTCCTTGCACTACTGTTCGGCCAGGGGTGATTGATCACCCCGAAAGAAGCCCGCACTGAAGTTATTGTTATTCATGGTGCTATATAATGATCTGTGAAGCATATCAGGGATGATTGAAATGCCCCAGATCAGTGCCCCTCGCTGCCCAGCACTTGCAACATTGTCTCGCCAAGAACTGCGATTTCGTCCACTTAAGCCAGTTCCCGGACATGCGACAAGTTCCCGAACCGAATTAAGCTTAGCGTCCGGGAATCGGGTATTTCCCGAAGGTCTGAGCCGAGAGCATACTTTGATGAGCTGCGCGGGGTTCCTTTCTCCAGCCTACAAGCCTCCTATGTCTGGATAACTTCCGAGGTCTGAACAGGAAGAAAAGAAGCCATGTTTATCTTTTGAACACCGCCCCTCATCCGTTGCCAGAAAGTGTATGTGTCTACTCTATTACCTCCCTGTTCGTATCTAGCCTAGTTATTCTCCCAGCCATGGCCAACGAGACTCAGCTCCTGGACCGTCTATCAGTGGAGGAGAAGGTGCAGCTTCTGTCGGCGGTTGATTGGTGGCGTACTCCGGTTATAAAGAAGGACGATGTATTCATTCCTCACATCAAGGTACCTTGTCTCGAACAAGCCTCTTCGTCTCGTCTTGTCCCGCCATTAACTTATGACAGATGTCCGATGGGCCGAATGGGGCTCGAGGCGAAAGCTACGTTAGTGGCATCACTGCGGCCTGCTTCCCATGCTCAACCTGCATTGGGGCCACATTTGATGTCGTCAGAGTCCATCAGCTCGGCGAGGAAATCGCGAAGGAGACAATCACCAAATCAGCAAACGTGCTTTTGGCTCCAACCATGAATATCATCCGGTCCCCTTTAGGTGAGCCTTTCCCATTGCCAGTCATGTCCACGTTATGGTATTGCTTACCAGAGCGTGCATAGGGGGACGGAACTATGAGACATATTCCGAAGACCCGTATGTCGTAGGAACTTTAGCCGCTGCTTTTGTCAATGGTAGGGCTCCAGTGTTGAATCTTATGTTTGGATGCGGCTCTCACATTTGTTCAAGGTTGCCAATCGCAGGGAATTGCGGCGACCCCCAAGCACTTTGTTGCGAATGACTCGGAGAAGCGCCGCACAAAGATGACGTCAGAGGTTGACGAGCAAACCCTGCGGGAGATATACATGCTTCCGTTCCAGCTCGTGCTCCGCGATTCAGATCCATGGTGTTTGATGACATCGTAAGTCTCTTCTTTACTTCTGAGCAGACATAAGAGAGTGCCTAAATCGGAGATTCGGTGTAGGTACAACAAAGTCAACGGAGAATACTGCGCCGATAGCAATCGACTGATTGAAGACATTCTCCGAAAGGAATGGAGCTTTTCTGGCGTTGTCGTCTCGGACTGGCTTGGCGTATACTCAACCGCCAAGGCTGTCAATGCCGGTCTCGACCTGGAGATGCCGGGCCCAACAAGATGGCGAGGCTTAAAGCTTGTCAAGGAGATCGAGAGTTCTGCCGTGCCTATTGAAGCAGTCGACCGGAGTGTGGAGAGAATCTTGGCACTGGCTAGGAAGACAGGCCGCTTTGAAAACCCGGAAGAGTTGCCAGAAAAGTCGATTCCTGACGACGACCGCATGGAGTTTATCGCGAACCTCGCCGCTGAAGGAGCTGTCCTTCTCAAGAATGAGAATGGGCTACTGCCACTTAAGCCCGGTACACGCGTGGCCGTGATAGGTCATCATGCAATGAATCCCAGCATTGGTGGCGGTGGAAGTGCCAAAGTTCTTGCTCAGCATACCGTCTCTCCCCTGGAAGCTCTCGAGAAATCGGGGCTCCAATGCCGGCATAGCCCGGGCGTTCCGGTACATGCGACAGTTCCCCATTTTAAGCCCGATGTAATTTCCGTAATTGACGACACTGCCCCAGACCAGAGAGATCTGAAGGATCTTCCAATTTTGCTGGAGTGGTTTAATGGTTCTGCCGTGGGCCGCAACAAGGTCCATGAGCAGAGGATTGCCGTTGCTGAGTACATGATCAAGGAAGCATGGCCGGAGTTCCTTGACCGCGAATACTGCACTCGCATGTCGTTTGCCCTTAGCCCGCACAGCGACGGACTTCACACTTTCTCGGTTATTACCACCGGGGTAGCGAAAGTCTTTGTCAACGGCAAAGAGGTTTTCCACCGGGCACAAGAGCCTATTCTCCAGCCTGAGTCATTTTACTTCTACAAAGCTAAGATCGAGCGAAAGTTTTCTCTTAGCCTGGCCAAGTATCAACGCGTCAAGATTGATGTTCATTCGTGGGCAGCTGACGCAGATGTGCTGGGTTGTGTTGAGGGGACAGTTTTCCAAGGCTCGTCACTTCGCTTCATGGAATATTTCGACATTCCAAAGGCTATCCATGACGCTTCCATCGTTGCCTCTGAAGCTGATGTAGCCATTGTCTTTGTGGGAAACACGAACGAGATCGAGTCGGAAGGTTACGATCGTGAGACCATGGACTTGACAAAAGACCAATACTTGCTGATTTCCGCGGTGGCAGCTCAAAATCCCAAGTCTATTGTGGTAAACTTCTCCGGTTCTCCCGTAACGGTCAATCCTTTCATCGACCACGTTCCCGTGTTCCTGCAGTCCTGGTTTGCTGGCCAAGAATGCGGCAGCTCCGTAGCCAAGGTCCTGACTGGTGTCGTCAATCCTTGTGGGAAACTCCCCATGTCATGGCCCCGGAAGAATGAAGATAACCCGGCTTTCAACAACTTCCCTTGCGATGATAACGATGTGCTTCGTTACGAAGAAAAGCTCAGGGTCGGCTATCGCTTCTATGATGCACAAGATACGCCCAGTCCCCAGTTTCCCTTTGGATACGGCCTTTCATATACTACTTTTGAACTCTTCAGTTTCAAAATTACTAGTACTGAATTTGGCGAGCCAAATCAGACCAAGGTCACACTTGCCTGCGAGGCGGGTAACACGGGCTCCAGGGCTGGGAAGACTGTTATTCAGATGTACGTCTCATACAATGGAATTTTGACTGGGGCACAGCACCCTCGCCCCCCGAAGGAGTTAAGATCGTTTAGAAAGATCCATTTGGAATCAGGAGAGCGACGAGGGACGGAGTTTGTTCTTGACAAGTATGCATTTAGCTTCTTTGACCCACGGGAGGGTCAATGGAAGCTCCAGGAAGGGCCATATACTGTCCATGCGAGTTTCTCGTCTGCGGAAACGCTGCTACACGTGGATCTCAATGTTCCGAAGTCACACTATTGGAAGGGTATTTAAGAATACTAAGTAACAAGCAATTCAAAGCAGATGATGGTGTTGAGAATTGTCCTTAATTCTATTCTCTTGGGAATCCAATCCCCGAAATGTATTGTAAAAATCCACAATTCTGACCTGGTTGTTGTCCCACGTGGATAGGCCAACAGGAATCGCCTCAGGTGTCGATTACTCCTGAAGGTTTACTATGCCTACAGCATACCAGAACAACCGGTTCCTCATCCTAGACAACTTGGAGACAATTAAACGGGCTATTAGGGCCACCAATAAGGAGGGCAAAAAATCAAAAGCCATCCTCAAGTTCAAACACAAAGACAAGGCGTGGACGAATATCATCAAGATGGGAAAGTGATTCCTCGGATGCATATATTCATAAAAATGAAAGAGCGTGAGGTTATGCTACCATCGCTAAACTTCGCTCCAGTCACATTTAGCACTCGGAACACACGTTGTTGTTAGCTTCGAATGTAATCATTTGGACCTCAGGGAAGTGTCGTAGAGTTGTGTAGCCAAAGGGTAAATGATACTGAGGAAGGGGTCAAATCGAATCTCCGAGTGATTTGCTCTGTTCGTCTGGGCAAGAACAGAACGATGGATTCCAAGGAGCAAGATAGAATCAAAATACAAGAAACGAGGTTAGAGAAATCGTCATATATATGGAATCATCATATATTCATACCTATATACCCAGTCAGGGGCAATGTGGGATAATGGAATAAGCATATCCAAGTTTGGATGAGTGTAGAAAGCTTTCAATTGTAGGCCCTCGTACTTCGATCACCATTTCTTTTTTCCCTCTAATCCTCCTCTGCTTGCTCTTCCTTCTTTCACTTCATTCTTCCTTCCTGTTCTCTCCACCTCATCATCCATCCATCAATCCAATGCAATCCATTGACTTGGTCTCCTTTTAATCCCATACATTAATCATGATGAGAGGGTGAGCCCCCTCTCCTCGGGCATCATTGTGGGGGGATCCACTAACATTTATAGTCGAAATTTTGTACTATCCCATCTGCCTCAGGCCACAGGCCTCCCATCCCCCCCTTACCGGACCCGACGAGCACCCTCCAGGAGAATGGGCCTCCCATCTCAAGGTACTTCCTTATGAATGCGTACGCGATGAACGAGATATCTCGCCTCCCTTCCTGCGTTTCCTCATCACCCTCCCACCTTGCCGAGAGCCCATGCTACGGGACAGCATTCCCTGGAATGCTGTGGACCTAAACGAAGAAATCGGCAAGCTTGCTGAGCATGTTGAAGCGGCATACATGTTCATGGTCGGGCGTCGTATTGAGCTGGAGTGTGCGTTGTGCCAACTCGGAGGAGGGGTTTTCCCTTACTGCGTAGTTATCGACTACGAAGACGGCCAATCTGAGTGCTGTAATTGCCACTGGGAATGCACCACTGATGGCTGTTGGCTCCTTGGAAAACGGGGTCAATATTTCTTCCAAAGCTTGTTCTATGAGGAATCTTTATAGTCGACACGGGTCATTGTCCCACTACGACCTGGTTGGAAAATTGGTTTTGTGCAAACTTCAAAGGCCTCTCAAATAAAGACATTCACAAGATTGTATTTGTTCTATTACACGACCAAGGCCGTAAAGTAGACAAATAAAACCGAGTAAACTACCAACTAGAGTGCCATATTTCAGGGGAGAGGTAGATACAATTACCCTCCGAGGTCTCGTTCTATCCCAGATCGTCTCCCCAAAAAGTCTCGAACAGTCTGCATTAGTTTTTGTGGTCCCAGTTACAGCTCTGCCTGTAACTGTCCGGCCAATCCTCCCGCCACCAACGTCCCCGACGACATGGCCGTTACTACCGCCTTCATGGGAACGGCACAGTCACCCGCTGCATATACTCCTAGGACGGAGGTGCTGTAGAAGGGCTCCGTTGTCTCGATATTGCCGTCAGAAGTGAGGTGCAATCCTAGTTGCTCGGCGAACGGGCCATTGATTTGCGTTTTAGGCTTGTGGGCCTGCAGGTGGTCAGTATCTGCTACCCTCAACTGCCGTTGGGGCTGTAGGGATACTCACTAAGAATCCCTCCGTTCTGTGAGTACCATCCTCGAATTCAACGTCCACATCAGATGGGCCCGGTCCCTTGACCAGTCGTGCGATAGGTCTACTGTCGACCTTGATACCTGCATCGTAGCTGACTTTCTCGAGTGCCTGGGTGACTTCTTGCACGCCGTGCGTATAGATGGTGACTGTCGTGGCAAACCGCCTGGCCATGCGTGCAATGTGCATCGCCGCCATGGTGTTGGCCATATCCCCAATGGCGAGCACTCCGGCGGCTTCGCAGCCTCGTTCTTCAAAGCCATGACAGAAGAGACAGTGAAATCTACATTGGGCCGTACGTTATGATCCATAGAAATAAGAAAACCAAATGAAAATAAAAAGGGATGCTGCTTACATTCCCCGTGCCCAGCACTCTCCATATCCCGCGATATCTGGGAAAATATCGCGGACTCCATTGGCAAAGACCAACTTCTTTCCCGTCCACACTCGGTCTTGCGAGTCAATAGCATTAAAACATCCTTCAGTATTCCGTTCGACCTTCTTAATCTCGACATTCTCGAATTCGATCGTGTCGTACCGCGATAGGATGCGCTCTCTAGCGGCCCGGCGAAATTCTTCGGGCGACTTGTGATCCCATGAAGCCACATTGTGCATATGGCTGGCGAGGGCATTTCGATAGACACCAGAATCGAATACGATAGCCCGGTACAGTTGGCGCGCGAGGCCAGTGGCCACTGACAGTCCGGCCGGGCCGCCGCCGATGATCAGGACGTCGAAGATAGTCATTGTACACTTGAGATCGTGATCGCGGATTTGAAATTGAATTTTTATTGAGATATGCCATCACCATTTTATCTTCCAAGGTGGCCCTGTCCGAAATAAACAAAAAGCTGCCGGTAGCAACACTACATATCGCTAGCTCGATCTCAGTTACGGTCCGATCGAGAGCATTCTAGATTCTGAAAGTCTCCGAAAAGTCTCCGAATATAGTATATTTTATGAAACAACAAACCATCGCTGGGGACCTCGGGAGCCCTAGAGGAACGCTGGATAGCAAGCCGGGAAGTATCATCCGTACCTACCTAGGTAGGTCGGAATGCTGCTGCCCAGGTGGTTACCTAGGTACATATGTACCTAGGTAGGTATCGGCCCGTTGCTTCGGTCCGTTACAATGGACCAATTGAGATCGATTATTTGCGCCTTCTGCTCCACCCTGGCATTCAGGGGTGGATCCTCATTTGGCCGCTGTGGTGTTTTTGTAAGCGCTGCTTTTCCAACCTTGGAAGCTTCCAAGGTTCCAAGGTTCCAAGGTTTAGATGATCAATAATTCAGCTGATCAGGTGATCACATGTAAGTCGTGTCACATAAATAGGTCGTCTTCGTGCCACATGGTGTTTTCACCAATGCTCACCTGGCGATATTCCACAGCTGCACTGGTGCTTATATTCTCTTTCCTTATTCGATATCGAACTACACTCATAGAATATATCATCGATCTACCTAGCACAATGGGACAGACACTTGCTGACAAGAACCAAGAATATTGGAAGTGAGTCGTGAGCAATGGAGAGACTCCCATGAGAGACGTACGGAGAGGACCTTGGGAGAAATGCTGACTGCTGAATGCGTCTAGCCATGCCTCCCACCTTGTTTTCAAAGACAAATGGATTCGCGATCTACAGGATCAGGTTTTCGAATTTCTGACGGGCAACGTTGACTGGATAGGCGTTCAGCTTCCTACTGGCGACAATGACCGGCAGACGAAATTGATGGATTATGCCTGCGGAAATGGCATTGTATCTCGTGTAGGTTATTGGCCTTGGTTAACAATTAGAGTATATGCCACCCACAGCACACAATACTGACTGTTGGCATTCTCCAGGCCCTGCATCATCATTTTTCCAAATGCATTGGCATTGACCTGTCAGATGGCATGCTGGACGAATATCGTGCAACTGCAGCGGAACTAGGCCTCGACAACTCACGCATGTTGGCCGTTCAGGGTAATCTCTTGGCTCCCACAGTTACATCGACCACCCCTCCACTCAGCAAGGAAGAGCTGGATGGATTCGATTTGGTAGCTATTTGTATGGCATTGCACCATGTCGAAGACATCGCCTTGGCCACCAAACGTCTCGCCGAAAGGCTGCGACCGGGTGGTGTGCTTCTGATTATTGACTGGGCGGCGCGCGATTTGTTGAATGAGCCTGAGCAGCAAGCCAGCGTGCAGACAACTCCGTCCTCTTCCGATGATCATCACAATCACCATCACCACCATCACCATATGCACGATGGAATAGATCCAAAACACCCTGCAGCGCATACCATCTCCCACACCAACTTTTCACGGGACCAGATATTATCCCTCTTCGAACAGGCGGGTTGTGGAGAGTCTCAGTTTGTGCTGGCAGATCGGCTATCGCCCGTTCCCGGTGCTCAGAGTGGGCAGATGCAACTGTTTTGGGCTCGTGCAACTAAGCTGTAGTATCTCTCAGTTACAGTCTTCCTTGCCAGTCACTTTCATTCATTTATACTCAAGACAATTCCTTCATGATCTTATCTACTAGGCAGTAGTAAACGATAAGGAATAATGACCCTCGGGATAGTGCCCCGCAGGAGTGAATTCTCAGATCCACTGTGCCCCCTTCAAGTGATCCCGAGCTGCAGCCGACGGATAGGATGCGCAACAGTGAGAGTGGGCATAAAGTGTACTTTTAGGTGCTACGGGCGAGACCAGGGGCAGATGCCGTTCATTTCATCTGAGATCTAGTTTGCTTGTGTTTTATGTTTGCACTTGAAATATTGTGTAAGGATTATATGTCTGAGAAAGCGTACTGAGGAAGTAATACTAGTTCTTCTCTGTGAATCAAGACAATCAAGAAGATGTTCTTCATCAGTGTCTGCTGCACTGGGCGGGAAGAGCGATGAGAAGCTCCTTAGTCCGGTATCCCATCTCCTGGTACCACTGAGTGTGTATCTTATTTGATGGCCTTCTCGATTGAAAACCCCTGTTGCGAGGTCCACTGCATAGATCTGAAGCTTTTTTCTGTTGTTGTAGAATCTCTTGACTACAGTACTGAATAGTTTCAACGCACCGTCGCAAATCACGCCGCATCATTGCAGCTCGGAAGATCTCTTGCTCCTCCGGATCAAACTCAAGACATCCAAACTGGAAAAGTGGTGGTTCCGAGCTGCCGCCGATGGCCGATCTGGGACTCGATCCACTACTCGGCATCTCGCTCGTCTCAACTGGCTGCTGAAACAGAGAGTTATGCCAAGGCATGTTATTCCCATCTTCCAAGGGCACAGCGTCTTCGTTGCCCGCATGGCGCTGGGTGGAGAGGATCACGACCTCATACAACCCTACCACCAGATCCATGATGGTCGCCACCAAGAGCGGACAACTATGGCACCGTCGAAATTCGTCGGTCTTGCTCACCTCCCGTACCTTGGCCATGGCTTGCCGGTTCAACCGCATCGCTTGATCGATCGGGACCTGGGAGGTCTGGAGCTGCTCTTCCAAGCACTCAATGGTCTTCAATAGGGCAGCAGCATGCGGGTAAGCCGAAATGACCGAATTATCGCGATAGCTAGGGGAGACTGGAGCTCTCGCCTCGTTTTGTTCCGCCAATCGGGACCGTACCGGATCCGCCGTCCGCTCCTGGATGGGGAACCCCAGAGTGTGCTTATCGGACATGCCCTCGGAAGTGGAAATTCCAGAGAGTTCTGTACACAGATCAGGGAATAAGTTTTCCGTTCCTAGCCAGGAAGGATCGGTCGCGCCGGGTGAAACCAGCGGCAGATCTGGGAAGTCACTTAACAGGTTCAGCAGATAACTGTTGATCTCCGTGTCGGCCGAGCCGGCGGTAAACTCCCCCATCGTGAGAATGGAATCACCTCCCATTGTGGTATTCACTGAGGTAGGCTGATGCCCTGTCCTGGATGCGCTGACTAGCGGTTGTTGAGAAGACCCGCTTTGTGGGACTGATTGGGGTAAAGTCGCGCTGGGCAGAACTCGCGATTCTCGCAGTCGGAGAGTCCGGTCGTTCGCTTTCATCCGTTTTTTCTTTGGCGCACGACCTACCATTGAAATTTGGTACTCGCAGGAGAGGCCGTTCTGGCGACAGCGGTCACAGCCATACTTCTCGCCGCTACAGCGAACCTAAAGATGTTCATCACGGTCAGGGTGTTTGCGCATGGAGATCCATCCCTCTCATTGAAAATAGACCTACCTTAGCTGTGTAACACTCCGTACAGGCAGATCGTAGGCGCAAAGGTTGTCGAGTACCCAACATAGTAATCACATTAGCTATAATATAACGGGGGCGAGAGCATTCCAAGGGACATATGTCAATGGTCAACCGTTATCTCATGCAACCTAGTAGTTTTTGTCAGATAGCACGACGATCATTTTAGAAAAAGAGAACTAAGAAAGCGTCCCAGCGCTGAAGGTGTCGGAGACTTATTGATGCCCCGGAGACTTCGAGATCAGGCTAACCCACATGTAGTTTAGCGTGGGGATTGTATGCTGCCCAGGTGGGAAGGTTATTGACTCCCCAGCCCTTTCTACATACATATGTACCTAGTTACGTGTAGGTATGTACTCCCCATTCTCAGATTCCAACTTGGGGTCATGATTGCAGAGAGAGTATCATCCCTGTCTAACTTTAAATGACCAGGCACTCAACTATATAGTCATATATGTGGTTGATATATTCACATAGTGCTAGCCTTCTTTCCAGTATATTCTGTATTTTTCCATAGCTAAATTAGATTAGTAACTCCCGCAGACTTGCTCTGCAGTCTTTGATTGGCAATTTTATGAGACAACTCCAACATAGACTTTGCTAGAATTTCCAAAATGGGGATGGTGCAATCCATGGATCTTGATATCCAGTTGCGCAGCTCCACGGCCACATGGGAGTCGACTCCATACTCGGAGACCGGATTAGAAGGATTGATATTTTCCACGGGGATAGAGAGGTGTGAGGCAATCTTTCTGCTGATAGCGTCGCAGATTACAATGGTAGCTTGATCCACCGTTTTTGCAGCACTGAGTTCAGCCTTCAACCCTTCCATCGAGTCACCGTGCGCAGCAGATTTGCCATGAACCTGGAACTTGTACCTGAAATGGGCAAACAAGGGCGCTTCAAAGTTCCCAAGTGATTCCATTTCTTTCCATTGGCCGAGACCAGTTATAAGCTGTGCTTCACCGCTCGTTGACTGAGAAATTGCAACTTGTATAAGGGATAAAAGAGTTGGTGTGTCAGTGCCCTGGAATCCCTGCCGTTCCATTTTAGCCGCCAGATCACTGTTTTCGGCTAAATAACCAACATCTGTAATCGTCCCGAGATCCAAAGATACTGCTGGAAGACCCAAGCTTCTTCGATAAGCGGCGAACGCGTCCATGAAAGTGCTGCCAGCAGCATAAGCGGCCTGTGTAGCATTCCCAATAACACCGCTGATAGATGATAACATCAGGAAGAAGTCGAGATTCGTGGGGAGATGTCGGTGCAAATTCCAGGTGCCATAGTACTTCGGTCCCATAACATCCCGATATTCTTCCAACCTCATGTTTTCAATATGAACGTCCTTAAGGACCATGGCCGCCTGGATCAACCCCCGTATTGGAAGCGCGCAATAAGAGAGATCATGAAGCATTTGTTGGACTTCGGTCTCGTCGGAGATGTCACAAGCTCGGGTAGTCACTTGGATACCTTTTTCCACCAGATTCTTCACTGTCACCTGAGACTGATGCTTTGAAAGGCCACTTCGATTGACAAAAATAAGGCTCTTGGCTCCGTTTTGCGCCATCCACAAAGCAACCTCCCTCCCAATTCCACCAAGCCCACCAACTAGCATGTATGACGCATTTGCGCGGAACAATGGCGGGGTGGACTTAGGGAGAGTGGCCTAGATATCATTAGTTAAATGCAAGTGGATGTCCTCCGGGGGATGGATAAGCTGTACCCTCACAGAATCATTCTCCTCTACGTGAACCACAACATGCTGTCGGCTTTGAGTCGCTGTTATTGCCTCCTGAATATGTGAAACATGATATGAATCGGTAAATTCAGGACCTTTGAGTCGTCCGTCGCGGAACAAACGAAAGACCTTCGGCCATATCTGATTGGCAAGGTCTTTTCTCTCTTTTTGCAGCTCAAATATGTTGACAGTAGACAGGGACATGTTTTGCGGACATAATAACTGTCGAGTCTTCATCTTGTTTGTTCGAAGTTGAATAAATCGACCAAATGGCGCAGTGAGGTTCTGTAGGATTTTGTCCTCTGGGGTCTCGAATGTGAGTACTATGTTTGCTTTCTTGCCATCGGTCAACCGTAACACGCCCTTGACTAGATCATTCTTCCCGCTTATGAAGACATGTTCCTCGGGTATCCCGAACCTCGAGCCCAGCAACTCCCTTTCGTCGGGACTCTGCACTGTCGCAAATATTCTAGCATGTCTCAGCAAGTACACTTCCAAAAGTGCTTGGCCGAAATGATTTCCGGCGTCATGGATGAGAACGACATCATTCGGCTCAACCAGTGACAGACAGTTCGCAACATAATAGGCAATAGTATATGTCAGAGGCAAAGCCGAAGCTACCTGGAATGACATTTCGTCATCGATCCTCTGGAAAGCTGATGCCAGATCGCGATAAAAGCTTCTCGCGGTGCCAGCCCCGAGACACGCAACCCGGTCACCCACAGTGATATCGCGGACCCCAGCACCGACCTTGGATACAATGCCACTACATTCCAACCCGAGAGTGTCATCTGTTTCCCAATCAAGATGATCTGGCTCAATCTCCCATTTATTCAAGCCAAACGAGTGTACTTGAATTTCGACGTAGCCAACAGGGAGTTTTGCCATTTGCGAATCACCGGCAAAGCCGGGATTGTTAAACTTCCTGGCAAGACGGAGAGGCTGGTGACGTTGATGAAAAGGCTGCTCGGATATAGCCTGAATATCATTAATGCTGTTCATGGTGTTGTTCGCCTTCAAATTCTCTAGCACTCGTGGAACCAGGATCTGTCCATTTCTCTCCGCATATTCCATGTCTTTGTCTGGATTCTCATGGAGAAATCGGGACACCAGAACTTTGGTAATCATCTGGGCGACTTGTAATTCCAAGAGAGAATTTTGAGCATCCAAATCAAGGGTGATGATCGGGTTAACACCCGATTCGGCACGTGCTGTTCTTGCAAATCCAACAGCCAAGGCCGCGTTTGGGTTGACAGACTCAATTGTCCCTCCTTTTGTGATCCAGAGAACTCCTTCACTCTGCAAAAACATCGCTTTTATCTTGCTGAATGTAATTTCATTGGGAGTGGCTAGCAGGGAGGAGTTTGAGGTGTCAAGGACTAAGCAAATATGATCCTTGTAATTCACATCATCGACGTGTGTGACATTCACCTCGCATGAGGCTTTCTCGAGCGTAGTGACTAGTTGTATGACAGTCTCAATTTTCTCCTCACAAATGATGGAAACCTTTTTAGTGGACATGGGACCTTTTCGCTTTTTGGCCACGATGAAATGATGGCTCCTCTCAGAGTTTTCCTCTGCAAATGCATCAACCTCAGCGAAATGAGCATCTTGCAGGATCTCGTCCCATTGGCTCTCCGTCCAAGCACCCTGGCCCAAACAGAATTTGTCTGCGGACAAGCAGTGCAATGTACTGAACAAAAGATTTTTCAGCACATTCTTCTTAGGATCAAAGGGATTGACTGCAATCAAATAGCCTGATGGCCTCAAAAGATCATGAATTTTGCTAAGTGCACTTTGTTCACAGCTTGCCGTACACAACCCATGAGGCAGAATTATGATGTCAAAGGAATTCTTTTCAAACCCTTGTTTGGGAAAATCCTTGCCAAGATCCAGGGGCTTGCATTCAACCCATTCTGACCACGCCTCCAGCCGCTTCGAGGTATGCAAAAGCACGGAGGTGCTTTCGTGGGCGAACGTGTATTTTCTGCAATGAGGTTTCTCGTTGAGGGTCACAAGATGGTTCAGAAATATCTCCGCTATCTGGCCTGTGCCGACACCAAACTCAAGGATGGAGATATCTGGTTTTACATGGCCAATCGAATTGACATATTTTGCAGCTGATTGGTATGAGTCCTCCGCTGAGAATATATCCCAGAACTCATCCATAAGACGATCATCTTCAATGGTAGTGGAAAAGTCAACTTGGTTTCGAATAATAGCCACAAGGTTCTTCCCAATAACCGGTAGGAGCCTTCCCATCGAAGTGGAATGCACATTTTCTAGGTGGGTTGGTGATATTGAGGGTTTGTCATCATATTTTTCTAGCACATCTTGAAGATAACACCGGAATCTGCGGTGAGAAGGGTCGAGTCCCATTGCCTCTGTTGTGTTGATTTCCTCCAGTGCAGCTCTGATGAAGCCGGCTGCATTCTCTTCGTATTCTGTTTGAGATGCGGGCTCTCGAGTAGCACACTCTTTGGCAAATAAAAATGACACATTACTGCTAGAAAGAAAGGATGGATCGGGTTTCCAGTCAATCTGATAAATCAAGCAGCTGTCATTTTTCTGCGATGCCGGTTCATTGCGCTCCAACCGCGCAAACCGTAGGCCACGAAGCGAGATAGTTGGCTCGGTGTCGAATTGTTTCTCGTTACAACTCACCGCAACTATGCATGCCGTTATGTCCTTGTTTGGCATCGGGCGCACATGAGTACAGATGCTCATGAGCTCTCCTGCCGAACAAATGAGACTGGACGATACAATCATCTCTTCGATGGAGACAGGGACTGCAGGTCCTTCCTCAATTCCCATACCTGGTGGTAAGGCCGCAAAAATTGTATGAAACATACTATCAAGGGTGCATGGATGAACTAAAAGCTCATGCTGGAATGACGCAGGCATCACGGGCACAGTATCTGGCACAGTGATTTCTGCAAAGCACGCCCCGTCTTGGGTAACACCCGCTTTTGTCATATTTGTAAATGATGGCCCGTATTCCAGGCCGGAATTTTGAAGCTTCGCATAAAAGTCACGAATGTCAATCACCGATATTCCATGAACTTCAGTCCCCAATGGAACTGTGGCATAACCATCAGTTTCCTCGGCTCCCTCGCCTGAAACACCAACACTTTTCTGTGTCCCGACAAAGCCAGTGCAATGTTCAATCCACTTATTCTCCTCTGAGATGGAATATATATGGAAATTGTACAAATGTTCTTGTTCTTGTGTCGACTTCTGAAGGGATACCATGACCTCAACGACAGAAGTTTCATTGAGTACCAGGGCTGATTGTATTGCCACATCTCGA